TCAAACGGTTCTTGGCCAGATCATTTGCGTCACTTGCTTCGGCCCACGTGAAACCATTATAAACTTCCAGGGCTGGTTCCCCAATCACGTGCAGGAAGATAGCTGTCTGTATCGCATCATCCTTCATGGCCCCACCACTCGCCGCCATATACACATCAAACCTTTGCGTGAATCTTGTCCAGTTATCGCTGAGATTTCTCCCGGACAAATCCAACGGCTGCGGAGGTTTTAGTGACTGCATCTTGTCGTCAGAGCAAACACGAACACTTCTGACACCATGTAATGTTATGTCTGTCTGTCACAATCACTAACAAATGACAACAGGGTTCAAACATTAAACGTGTATTCTGACGATACGAAATGTCAACAATATGGCGAACACTGCCGAGCAACTGACCACTGCGCATGTGTTGTGCGCAAGCATGGTATAGGGGGCGGTCCTAATAAAGTACAGTAAATCATTATGTTAAACTGTTCATATCATTACATATTGTATTAGAGATTGAGTAAACACCGGTGAACGTTACTTGTCTTGTTTTATCTCTATCAGTCCATTACAGATCTTCTACTATGATAGTGCGAATAACACGCCTACAATATTTGTAAGGCACAATTGTTTGCTTAAATCAATTGGAACGGCAAAACGAGAATTATAATGTAGGCAATTTTACCATTAAGACTAAAGAAACCCATATTTCCAGTTTTATTAAGGTTTAAAATGCATGCGTCCATACCAGATTCCAAGCTCTATTAAATCTTAGCATCCAACACTGGCCAAGGCAGGCTGTGATGTAGTTTTTGTATCGCTGCCATTTTCAAAATCTAAGCCAGCATTCAAAATTTATTCGAATCCAACGGCAACATTCGTCTTCTGGTCCAGGAGAGCCTAACATTTCCAGAAATTCATAATTTCACAAACCCCCTCAAAAAATTATCGAAAAACACGCAAACAACCCGACCATTCGTCGCGCGTAAAAACCGTGATCGCTCTCGACCCTAGACTGCTGCCGACCGCCCCCAGGGGAACCGATCTATAGTCCTATGGGTCGTTGGTCCTACAGTTATTAGTAAGAGGGGTAGAGTAAATGCCCAAATTTTTAATTTTTAAATTTTTAATTTTTTAATTTAAATTATTTTAAATTTAAATTTTTAATTGTATTTGTTAAAATTTTTCTTTTTAAATTTTTTATTAAATTTTCTACGCGACCCGTAGGTCTAAAGAACTGTAATCGCCCCCAGCTCCCTACTCACCGACAGGTGCTCCGGGCTTGTGTATGTCGACTAACTGTATGCTGGCGGCCCTCTCGGCGCCGCGTATCTCGTCGGCAGAGAGTGTGTCGCCGCGTCGCTTCCGCTCGTCAATGCTGTGCAGCCGGTCAATGAAGAACACCTCCACAGCTGCCGCGACTGGTTGCCGACGTCCTCCGCCGAGAGTGCGGTCGTGCAGTTGCGCGACGCAGCTATCTGCAACACGAGACAGCACTGAGACAGGTGGCGGTCGTGCTGAGACAGAACTGAGACAGGTGGCGGTCGTACTGACACAGTACTAAGACAGCACTGAGACAGATGGGGTCGTAGCACGGCCGCACGCCGCTGCTCTCTGCAACACAGCACGGCCGAGACGGCACTGAGACGGCACTGAACAGTGGGAGTCATACTGAGACAGGACTGAGACAGGTGGAGGTCGTACTGAGACAGCACTGAGACAGCACTGAGACAGTGTGGGTCGTAGTGTGGTCTTGCGCCGCAGCTCTCTGTAAACACAGCACAGCTGAGACTTAACACTGAGGCTGAATTGAGACAGCTCTAATACACGAGACAGTGGCTGACAGGTGTACATATGACTTGCCCGACTGGTATTTATTTAGTTTTCTGCCTTTAGTGGGAGAGGGGAATTCAACAAGTACTTTAAGTGCTTATTAGTAATTACGCACACATATCTCCGAAGATTATAACAAATCAATAGTATAATGTTACAACAAATAAGTAAACATTTGGATTGCTCGTGATTGCGTTTACTAGGTCAATACAGGTTACAACATGAACTATACCCTACGGCTAGCATTATTTATGCTTACCACACTGTATTTGCATCTCTACTATCACAACAAGCAATCTTTGTCAGTTAACCACTGTTGCTAAGGCTGAAGGGGTCGTTGTCGT